CAAATATAAATCTCATTCTCTTTCCGCACATACTCTACTATTATACGGCTTTTACTTCTTGGTAACACAATTTTATCATTCTGTGGTAATAAAGCTTGTCATAGCTTCAGTAACACTACCTTATAGAGTTGGTGTGTTTCTATTGGTGAGGAAGGTTCTAGGGCTACACGGGGTAACGGATTGTGTTTAATAAGGCGAGGACGGCTAGACTGGCGCACTTTCTTCCGTTTCAGCGGTCTGGTGACTGGACTACGCTTATACCTAATCAATATTGGGTGGAGTGGTATAATTTGCTGTGCTTTTTATAAAAATCAGAAGATAAGGGTTGACAGGAGGACTCAATGGCGTAAGTGATTGGCGCATTCAGTCTGCGATCTTAGAACTGGAGCAACTTTCCAATGCCGGTCCGGTCGTATGGATAACTAAAAAAAATTCTACCACGCTACAGGAGGCAAGTCAAGTCGTTGATCCCGGTTGAATTTTCAGTAGTTCGCATTGAGCAACACGGCCGACCGGGCAGGAGGGAAGTAGGCATACATACGCATTACCCTCTGTCGAGTTGGGCATACGAACGAACATGTATCGTTTGTATACCCAATTTGTATGCGCAGAATTTGGCGATTTATTGTGGCGTTTTATATGTAAGTGTCGTAGAGATAAAGTTTCGTTTTATATTAAACGGCGTTTGTGTGCATGTTTCCGTCCACCCGCAAAAAAATTAAGAATGATTTTAATAGTATTATGTCGCTACGGCTACTCCCTTCCGGGTTGCTCTATGGCCCACGCCAAACCAAACTGGATCTGCGAATTAGGTCAGGCAGAGGCCATGACTAATGTCATGACCCAATCTCCCTATTCCATCCATAGGTAAGGCCTATGTCCCAGCCTGACGATGAGATTAGATCAGTGTTCTTGTTTGGTGTCTACAATGATAATTGATTCCGAAGTACCCATTAAAGTTGTTAAGTATTTTGAGGACAATGAACGGTTATTTCTCATTGAACTCTGTATGAGAATGGTTGTTGCGCGGCGGGCGTGCTCGCTTCACTATACTTATTTGAAGTACTTGGATGCTTAAGTACTTATATGTAGATTCAGGTTACGATTATATGATATCTTACATATTTTGGTACCTATACATTTCATGCTTTTTAAAAAAAAGTGTTAACAAACAAGATTTGCTTCAAATGTACGTACTATTTAGCATTTAAAATCGCAATGCAACTCGAACTCGCGAACGAAGGTTTCCGTGTCCTGTTACAACATTAAATCTACCTACTGTTAAAATATTTCTGGAAAATATTCTTTTACATATGAACCTCAAAAGATACCATTTGTTTTTAATATTTGTTGCTGTAATAGCAACAGAAAAAACGATCTGTGAATATTTCAACTAGTCTACCTATTATGGCGTCTATTACATAAGCAGTCATTTGTTTTGGAATGTAAAAAAAACAAATGCCTTTAACTGATCATTATTATTGAAATATGATCTAGCTACTACTGAGATGATTCGATTTCCTTTGTTGACATTTATCGAACATTTATTCGGCGCGGATGTTATTGTTGTGGTTTTATATTGACCTTATAGTTATTGGCTACGACTTGTTAAATAAAACAAGTTTCAACGGGTAAGATGCACTGATTTTATTTATTTATTGACGTGTCACATCCTTTGCAGGAATGCGTCGCCGGAATAATGATTTTGTTACTTACTTTGTCGAGCTACCTTCGAAAGACTTTTATTACTTCTAACCCGTTGACACTTGTTTTATTTAATGAGTGATGCGTTATTATAAATTATGATGACTAACATATAAATATATACTAATATTGTAAAGAGGTACAGTTTGTTTTTTTTAAATATTTTTAAAGGGATGAGGGTAGAAAGAAATTAATTAACGGCATGCTGTTTCAGATGTTGTTTAGTGTTTTCGAAATTCATATTGATCATGGGATAGATAAAAAAATAATAGTTAAATAAAAACTAGAAAAACACGCTTATTTAAATTCACGTAAAAATCTAAAATAAACTATGGATCGTTCAAGTTGTCGCTTTTTCTGGGCTGAAGTGTAAACTATGTGCTCTTAATTATTATATTTGATTGTAAAAGCGTGGGGCACTGGAACAAGGTAACAATTTTTGTATAATTTGCTTTAGTGTTCAAGAAACACAGAGCGATAAAGACAAAAGAAGATAATTTTAACTTTATCAAGAAAAGTCTTTTTATATATTTTTTTTTCAATTACCAGAAAGTGTTAAGTATCTACTCCGTGGTCATGATCTGTTATCACTTTGCCGTCCATAGATAAGGTCTGTATTATAGTTCTAGCAATGGCTATATGGATTGCGTCTCTAGCTAGACCGCTCTGAAGTTCGCGCTGGTGTACAGTCTTATACAGATCGCGCCAATCTTCTAGGCCGCTCCGAACACTGCACAATTTACGTCGCATAACAAAAGACAGGTACATATATGATAATGTTCATGTACGACTGTACACCTGCGTGAAGCAACTTTAGACCAGACTAGAAGTTTGGCGAGATTTGTAACAACAAACAACCTTATCAATTTTATATTAAGTAAGAGAATGTCCAGAAGAAAAAGTGAAAATTATAAATCAGTAATAAAAATTTACGGCTTAGTGATCTTCGTGATTTTTTTAAACAAAAAACACAGAGTACATGTTTATTTTGGCTTATGTGTAAAAATAATAAAAAACACCACATCGTACAACGAAAAATCATGAATAATCTAGTAAACTTTTCTTTAGATTTAAACATCTAGCAGTTAAATGCTTAAAAAATAAATAAAATCATAATCATGAATAAGTTAAAAAAATATTGTAATCGAGGGACCATTGGAACTACGAAATATATGAACATCATCAGAAGACCCTAAGTTTGCAATATTTTATTTAAAATTAATGGGCGTAGGGGCTTCCTATATCGAAAGAAGAAAAGATTATATATATTTGAATAAAAAAGCAACTACATATGGTTATCGACATTTAAAAAAAAATACAGTCCTCACTGGTTCATTTTCAAAAATATGTTTTTTTTTATTATCAGAAAGTAAAACCAAAACAAAAGAATAAAAAACAATATTGAAACTTATTCTTTTGATTATTGAGATTGAATCGAAATCTTTGATTGCTGCAGTCCAAAGAGACTGTTGTTTCTGGTAGGTTTTCCGACGCTTTTTTTCGATTTAACCTTGACTTGAAAACAAAATAAACAGTCAAATCGGTCAAGACGTTCTCAATTGGTGTTTTGTCATACATGTGGCAATTGATATTTAAATAGATTTGAGTGTATTTGACCACCATCCCGTCTGATGAGTTAAGCAACGATGTGGTAGACCACACTGGATCCATCCCAACTCAAATAATGCCTATTTTGTGGCCTTGAAGATATATAAAGATACTTATATATATGTCGATTAGGGGGAAAAGAATATTATGGTGACTGAATAACCAGTTCACAAAACGAAAGAAGATGCAAAGCTGAAATTTTTATTACATAATACACTGGCAGTAGGTACAAGCGTTTTATATGATAGTACAGGGGTCGTAGACAAGTGTCAGTCTTTCTTTTCCTTTGAACGATATTTTATACGAATTTAACAAGTTACACTAATCTTTAGTTTCATTTTAAACTTTAAAGTTAGCTTTAGCGTTCCCTTAAATTGAAAGATTATCTAAGACACCTGAGGCCCAAGCAAGTCATTTGACAGCTCCTTAATCATATCGCACCGTCAAAGTTTCTATGAAAGCTAAGCTACACCTACCGGATGTAAGAACAAACTGGCTCCTTCCATACAAAATTTGACGATGATGATACGATAACGGAGTTGTCAAAATTCGTGCTTAGGCCTCTGCTTGTCTATAGACAGTCAATAGGTGACTCCATTTGTAGCCAAACGGTAGTCTAAAGTAAACTGCCGGTGCGGCGTTGGTGCCTAGGTGCCTAAAACTAAAACTAGATCCAACTGATGTTTTGCAGACTTGCTTTAATGGCAGATTTGCATTTAGCAAATTTGCCATTTGCCCTTTTTACGGACGTTTTGGCCAAGGAGAAATAAGAGCATTTGCATGATGCAATTTAGAAGAAGGAGTGCAGAAAGTTTATATATTTATAAAATGTCTAGGCGAACTGGCGAACTTCTTAACGAAATAGTTGTTACCGTTTGTTTTTTAAGGTTTTCTTTTCTCACATACCTAGTCCTGGTAATTAATAACTAACACATAAACAACAAGCAATACATTTCGGTGATTCATTTTGATATGTATAGAGAAGAGATACTTAAAAGAAACATCGTAAATAAATTAAATTCATACTACCATAAGTTTCAAACACCCTCAATAGCTCTTTGCCAGAATAACTAAAGAGTTCGAATTTCTTGAATTTCAAGAGGCGACCACTAGGCATCTCGCATACCCACGACTGGCCGAGGTCGTGGCCGCAACCTTAGTCGCTAAAGATAGGGTTCGGCTGCGGCCAAGATTGCGACCACGACTAGGCGGTTAAGCGGCCACAGTGCTGATCATTTCTTTATTCCATTAATGATTTACGCTGTATCAAAGCTTATTGCAGAAAAAACCGTCGTCGTATTGAGTAGCGGTACGGTACTAAGCGTGTTCACTCACGAACTGTTTACATGACACTGAGAGAGAATGGCTGGTCGCGGCCTAGGAGCATTTGCGGTCGTAGACCTAGTGCACGAGTGCTCATAGCAAACTATGTGCAAGTTGGCCGCAAAGGCAAGTCGTGCCGGCCCGTTGTGCGGCCAAGTGTGCGACGTTCATATGGTTTCTTTAGTAGGCTATCTAGTGAGTAAGGTGCCTTAGATCTCTGTAATTTGGTAAACTTTGCACTGCAAAGAAATAATAAGTTTCCATATATTGACATACATAGTTATTTTATAGGTCCGGGAGCAAAGGTGTTACTATCTATCTTAATCAATGCACTATTAAAAGAGCATACTACAAAAGAAATGTTTTTAATTACACGTCATACTATTGTGAGTATCTATAGAACGCGTTCTTCATATGTATAGTATACACCTACTACATTATGGATACGTTGATTTCGAACATCGGGAACGCATGCGCCCTTCGTTAGTAGTTCGAGCGCATTGGCAAGTGATTCAGTCAGTCTGGCATGCCCGCTGCCGGCAGTTACCACTCGGAAACTACCGTGCTACATCTCTCTGCCATTGCCAGTACAACAGTCTGCGCGGCAAACGGCACCGGGCGTGCGCATTAGTGTCTGTGCGTTGTAAACATTCGATTTCCGAAAGCCGCATCGTGATCGTAAAGTTAAATAATAGGCTGGAGTAGCCGAAATAAGATTAAAATATAGAATGCCGGGTATGGACATCGAGTACGCTTGAATGTTAACTTGATTGGCATTTGTTTTAGTGTTATTTCATATAAGGGACTGTGGCGTAGTAGTATTTTATACGTGTTGATGTGCTCCAATTTTAAACAGTGCTACTAAAGGTAAGTAAACTTTGTCTTTGTTTTGTGTTTACGTAGGTATTTTTGTTTTGAATCACGGGTGTGTTTTGATTATTCCGAGCGAGATAAGAGAAGAAAGTATTAATATTATTATATTAAAACTTAAGTTATCGTTGTGAAAAATTGATATGGATTTAAGTAGGTACATAAAAAAGTAAGGGTACCAAGTTAACGTTTTAGCCATGTTTAGGCATATTTACAAATGTCATTTTCTCCTTTAACTCGTTTTGGACACCTTTTTTGTGATAAAGCAATATTATATGGGTATGTTCTATGTGCCGGTAAATAAATGTGTTCGTTAGGAGTTGTAGATGAACCAAACCTATTTCAGTCAGCATTTTGAAATTTTGAATTAAATTTAAGAAAAAAATTACTATGATATAAAATCTTTAGATTTACATATCTAGCAGTTTTAGTTTAAAGTAACAATTTAATAATTAAGTAACATTTTTAATTAACATTGACTTGAAGTTAGATGGTCTGATGAAAAATATTTTTTACCTCATTGAATCCTCATTCATATTTAGAAAAACAGGTATAAGTAAAAATAGTTTATTTTGTGTTAATTTTTGTTTAGATACTTCGTATTTACATATTCCAGCCTAACATGCTTAAAAAATATATAATACTAGCTGACCCAGCGAACTTCGTACCGCCCTAAAAAAATAGGGGTTGTCCAGCGGACAAAATTGTGAATCTAAACCATTCTCAGATCCCCTTGAACACACACAAAAAATTTCATCAAAATCGGTCCAGTCGTTTAAGAGAAGTTCAGTGACATACACACTCACAGAAGAATTATATATATAAAGATTTTTTTACGCGACCTTGCTGACGTAGATACTGCTAATGTCATACCTACCTTCAATGCGGAACTTCCTGTAATTAAATTCCGGTCAATTTAAATTGATATATTAGGCAAAATAAAAAATCTAATAGTTTTTAAAGAAATTAACAGAATGATTCAAAAGGGCTGATTCTATTATGTATTGCTTTGTGTAAATTTTCTATTTTTTGACGTGAATGGTTCAAATACAACTTTCATAAGCTCTTTAGAAATTATAGACTGCGGCATTAGAAAAGGTATAAAATACATTAGAATTTATAATCGTTTTATATACATACGCACAGAGTAGGGACGTGGTTTCAGATTTTCCATAAATTATCCTTCTTCAATGTTCAATCTATATGTTTACCAAAATTAATTGAACCTGATTCGGCGATACTTAAGAGCAAAAGCATAACAATGTTATCCTTGCCTTTCAATAAAAATGAATGTAAGTTGTGGAAATTGGATTAGATGTTTGTAACATGATGAGCAATTCTAATCTGCAAGAACACACAAAATTTTTTCACCGAGAAATTCGTGGTGTAAATTGAAATTTATTTTAAATTCCTATTCTAATTTCATATCAGAATGCGGATTATTCGGTGAAAATCCGTTATCCTTCGAGAAATCCGTAGAGTGAATTGAATTTTATTTTAAACTAGCTGTGGCCCGCAGTTTATTAGGGATATTTTCCCGCAGTAAAACGTAGCCTATATGTCCAGGGTGTCAGCTAACTCCATACCAAATTTAATTATAATCGCTCCAGCCGTTTAGTCGTGAAGAAGTTACAAATATACAGACCTATAAACGTTCGCCTTTATAATATTAGTGTGATTAGTGTTCTAATTTCATATCACAACGCAGATTCCACGGTGAAAAGTGAGTGTGTTCTTATAGATCAGCAGTGCAGTTGTATTAACTTGATGCTGATTAATTAATTTTGGAAATGATAGCTAATATAGGTGAAGACCAAAGACCTTGACCCCTTATGACCCCTTGATCCCTTATGAAAAATTATTACTATCAAGAGCATCACTTGCGAATGATTGCTATATTCGTAATATTTAGAGCAAGATTTGTATGTGAAGAAATCGAGTTAGCATTTTTCTATTGAAATATGAAATTGTGCATTTTCATCATCTTTGCTTCAAAAGGATCGCTAGTTAATATTACTATATAATATAATAAAGTACCTATAGCCATTCTGTATGGATTCTTAATTGCTTTAAAACACATAAGTAAGATAAACACACTATAATTCAAGTTTGTTACCGAATCGACTCTTCGCATTCGATGGTACTACTAGTAAAAAGTATTTTTTTTAATTCTGATCTAATAGGTAAATTATAAGCAGAAACATGATTCTAAAATTCTAACATTGTACTTAGTTTTCTCCATACAATCTCGTTTCGACGTAAACAAACGCTAGTGAAAGTCGAAAAGCTTAGAGCCTACTAGTAAACTACCGGTTCCCCACTAGTAAACTATACCGGTTCGCAAATCTATGAAATAAGATCACACTGATTATAAAACAGCTATAGATGTTGTTAGTGATGATTAAATTAATATCACTTGAGGACCTTCATGATGCAGTCGTTGATAGGTTCGGTCTGCGATCGTGGAGTGAAGTAACTTTCGCAATGACCGGCCATAGGAAGGGTGACCAAAAATCTCTAGCTTCTCCTTGTTTCACCAGGCAGATTAGGGAATTTCACATTCGTTCATTTTATTTTTTATAAAATATTTGATCATTTAAAGATAAAAAAAAAATAACATAATATGAACAGTATTTTATATAACATGGAATCTCCCGCCATTATAGCCTTTGGCCTTTTTTTGGGTCATATAAGGTACTGGCAGACACTAAAGACATTGTCTTGCTCGATCAAAATATAAAAAATAAATACTCAATCCTAGATTATTACCGTAGCACACCTACCGGGTGCAGCAGTGCTTTTCTGTAAGAACAAACTTATTTTTTAAAGTGGAATCCGCGTGTCATTTGAAATTAAAATACAAATTTCAAATCCCACCGCGGATTCCGCAGTGTAAAGTGAATTTGTTTTTACAGAATGCACTAGCAGTGAGTTCTGTGTGCCAGTGTGAATCTAAAATACCCAGGGATTCTCTCCAGTGCACTTGAGTGCACACATTAAATTTCATCGAAATTGTTTCGGCCGTTTAAGAGTTCATTTTTATACTCCCGGGCAGCAGATATAGTAATTTAAGGACAGCCATATTTAATCTCATCATCAGCCGATAGGCGTCCACTATTGGACATACGAGTACATAAGCCAGGCGACGCGTCGTCAAGGGATTTCCATACGCAACGGTCTTGCGCATTGCGCAGAAATATCAATTCCATTTTTCACCCCCGAAGGGGTTAAAATAGAGCATGAAAGTTTGTTTGAAAAATCTTATTCCTTTAGTTAATAATAGAGAGTTAATATGAGACTTGAAACTGTTGACTTGAAACTTGAAATAAAGTTTGAAATTTTTATCATCATTGACAAATGACTGACAAGTCGAGAAATTAAATCATCACATAAGTACAATACGAGTCTTAAGACAAAATAATACACACATCAAAAGTGTCTAGGGATCAAGCATTTTTATGCGGATTTCTTGAGATTGAGATGTGGCTTTGTAATAAATTTATGATTTTATAAATTTATATGGATCCTTTTTGGTGCATTTCATAATTTGAATCAGGAACTGTGAATCAAATTCGAGTAAAAGATGAAAATCAGCTGTCAATATTTTCCCTATAAAAACATACAACGCATTGAAGACATTATTAGTGCTACTGTTTCCCTACTACTGATTAAAACCAACGTTATTATGGAGCGGCGACGTCATTTAAGCAGGGAAGAAATGCTCAGAGCCGTGGGAATGATAGAAGCTGGTTCCCGGCAACGTACTGTGGCTTTAGCTCTGAATACAAGTCAGAGTGTTATCAGTCGACTTTGGACACGATACCGAAGCACTGGTACCGTGGCTGAGCGCCATGGAGGACGGTATCGCTGCACCACACGGAGACAAGACCGATACATTCAAATCTTAACTCGAAGAGCTCCAACAATAACCGCCATGATGTTAGCCGTGAGGCTTCATCACTCTTCAGGGAACTTAATTAGCGACCAAACAGTCAGAAACCGCTTGCATGAAGTGAACCTTCATTCCCGAAGACCGCTACGGGTACCACCTATAGCAATGCACAATCGTAGGATTCGATATCAATGGGCTCTTGAACACAGAAATTGGGCAGAAGAACAATGGCGTTTCGTGTGCTTTTCTGATGAGTCTCGTTTTGGTATGAGACCGGATACAAGACGTATACGACACTGGAGAACCCCTGGACGCCAACAGCGATTAAAATCCTGCCAGGAAGTCCATCCTTATAGTGGTGGAACCATCATAGTATGGGCGGGTATTTGGATCGGCGGAAGAACTGAGTTGATTTGGATCAGAGGCAACCTCAACGCTCAAATTTATGCTGACACGATTGTATCAGACGTCATCGTTCCTCTACAAGTGCAAATCGGTCCCTTATTTCAGTTAATGCATGATAATGCACGACCGCACACCGCAAGAGTTGTAAGACAGACTCTCGCCGCAGCTAACATCAATGTCCTGCCCTGGCCTGCTCAGTCGCCAGACTTGAACCCGATTGAGCATGCATGGGATATGCTACAGAGAAGAGCTCTGCCGAATATGGAGGGTATCCAGTCGCAAGAAGACCTTTTTTTGTTGTTGCAACGAACATGGGCGGCCATTCCACAGCGTGATTTGGATGAACTCATTTTGAGTATGCCAAACCGATGTTCTTGTGTTGTTAGTGTTCGCGGTAGAAATACGGATTATTAATTGTTTAAGTTACCCAATAAAATTTTAGAGAAAACTGTTATTTCAGTCTTTTTTTCGAACTTTTGTGTTAGTGGTTCAAATGTCAAAAATCCCTTTATTAGGAAAATGGCAAATTTCTTTATTAATGCAAAGGTGACTTGGTTTATCGTTACTGTGACAAACGAAAACACTTTATTTGATGAATCCTTAAAGAAAATTTTAATTAATATCAATCAGGAGAAAAGTTATTGCAAAAATATATGTTGATCCCTAGACACTTACGTACCTAGTATTTTTCCTAAAACGA